GTCGTGGCTTATATCTCGTACCTTTATCTCGCGACAAGATGTATATACGTTTTCGCACGTTTACATGCATATTTCATCGTGCCCGCGGAATACACGTACACATCCTCGCATCCCCTTTTACATTATATCTATACGTCTTATCAGGAACGCGCCAAGCGGGGAAGGCGACTTGTTCTTTCGCTCTTTATCTTGCTCCCGTTGTTTTACTCCTTCCTCGTTTTCGTGTATTTCGTGTATCTTTCTTTTCATTTAATTCGCACACAGACAGTGCCTGAATATCGAGAGGATCCACGAATTCGGTCGATTGGTTCGCTCGAGCTCACTCGAAAGATCAGGTCCGAGGAACAGCTGATGTCGCTCGGTCAAATAGATAGAGAAAAATAAAAGCCGATATCGGATATTACCTCTCGCTCCTTTGGAATAGTTGGAGGCGGGAATAAGGGGGTCGCTTGTGCGCTCCGAGCACAAGGACGAAATTTCTCGTCTGCGTAGTATGTGGCTTCCGAAAATTTGCGCGGAATGCAGGGCTCCGTCTCATAAGATTGCGTCAAATTTCTCTCCGCCCCGCTGCAAAATGTCGATGCTCGCTCGCGAGACGGATCAAATATATACGCGAATAAAGGGTCTCTGCTCTCTTAGCCACTCGGTGTATTTTTATCGGAGCCAAGGGATCTTGAATCTCAAATATTTACGCGACTCGATTTTACACACGTACGGAGAGACTGTACGTTACGAAATTATCGGATTATCGCAGAATCTTATTACGGCATATAATATATATATCGAGGCTATTTTGTGAGTAAGTCACAGGGGAATTGAAGTCGAGACGCATTAAAGACAATGTTTTAACACGAGAATGTCTGATACGTTTTATCCGACCGGTCTAATTTCAAAACGTGCCCGAGAGGTCAATAGGCTACTTATTCTCGGGGCCGATACATGAATTACCCGCTAGCCGTATCGATCCCTGAATTTCTATCGTGCCAAAAGCGATCCATCTCCCTTCGTGACGTAGCCGCGGGCACATCCATCGGTATTATATTATAACTGACCGAAAGAAGGATTAAGGGAACATTCTTTTGTATCAATATTACACGAGAAGAGAAGGGCTGTTCCCTCTAATTGCGCCGAGCCGTTGTTTGGAAATGAGTATAGCACGCATTAATTTGTACCGGGTGCGTGTTTTCTCACGGTTCCTCGTAAGGGATAAGGAGGGATAAGTCGAAATAGCCAAAGAAGCGCGAAGAAGAAAACCGATATTGCCCCGGCGCTTGTTTACACAGGCTATTTTAGCAGTATTCGGAGACGATCGCCCTGCTTTATTAAGACAGAAAAAATATATAGTGATTTATTCGCGAATAAAGTTTGCACTACATACACATAAATATATTTCGAGGCTTTTATTTTGGATCGATTCAGTCCCTTGGCTGTTTGCAACAAATAATGCTTAAATAGTATTACATTGTTTAATGACTTTGATATTTCTTTTTTGTTACAGATTCGAAGATGAATTGGCCATTGGTGCTGACCTGCTTTTTGTTGCCGCAGTCGTGCATTTTCGGCGCACAGCGCGGTAAGTCATAATATAATAATATATAATTAAAAATTATTTCTGCTAGCAACTATTTTTTTGAGATTATATAGCCGTTCTGTGCAATAAGAAAGGCATTAGAATATTCTCTAATGATATTAATTTAAATATGTTTCTTAATTTAAACATTTTTTAATTATTTCCAAAATTTTGCTATACAATTTTTAATATTTGTTTATATTTTAATATTCTAAATTATAACCTAAATTATAAATTATAGTATGTTTAGTTTAAATTATAGTATAAGGGGGGTTAATTATAAATACTATAATTTGCAATAAGCTATTTATAACTTTATGTCATTTATATATGTACAATAGTGGAATTATATATAAAATTAAAAGATATTCTATTTTATTATGAACGGTTCGTCAGATATTTATAATAAATCAACAAACTCAACTATATTTAATTATTAATAATAAGCAGTATATATCTATGTGTATATAATCTAAAATTTATAAAATAATTAAAAAAGACACTTTATTAAATTTAAATAAGGCTTATCAAGTCTTATTTACATTTAAACGCCTTTTGTATATTTGTTATAATATTTTGTGTGAAATTGGAATAATATTTTGTATGAAATTGAAAAGAAGTAACGTGTTTATTAATATAGAGTAAAAAAATGTATGCGTTATACGAGAAGATGGAGCGCACCGTAGCGTGTAGAAATTTTTGCGAATTATTTTACGCGAATACGCCGAGCCATACTACCGAGACTATTCGTTGCACGACTGCGCCACCGTTACTGTCCTCCCTGCTGTGCAACGAGCTGCAAAAGCCAGGCCTGTAAAACCAGAAAAACCCACGAATTGGGTCATTTCTTTTTTTTTCCATCACCAACGACGAGAGCGGTAGTAGTCGGGAGGCAGGCGGAAAATCCTTAATCCACCTCGGTCGCTCGGAATCTGGCGTGAACCCGTGCGAAAACAACGCCGAGGGGTGGATTATGATGATCGTGGAAACAACGTACCGGAGCGTTGTTCGTGTTCCCCCGGTAGATATGTGGGTGGGCGGTTTTCCCGGATGTATTGCACACCCAAGCGTGACCCATAACCGCGCGCCTCTTTCCTTCCAGTTCTCCCCCAGCTGCGCGCGCGCGAATAGACAAATTAGTTCTCTTTCACCCTTACTCGAGATGAGGACTAAGAAGCTCAGCGTTTGTACCAATGGGGCTTATTTCCTGTAAGCTCCTGTGATTCGGTAACAGATTGTTTTGTAATGACGACGAAAACACGAAATACGATCTCCCAAAATATAACGATCGATTCAAAGGGAGGGAGGTTATTTTTATTAAGTTTTTAATTTGACGGATAATTAAATATTTCTTCGCAAAATATTTTTAATATGCACAATGCAATTAAAAATTTGGTTTCTTCTTTTTGAATTAATATATAATTAATTAAATTTATAATAATATTATATAATAATAATTTTTAATATATATATATATATATA